TTCTTTTTTATTTTTTTTTAAATCTGCGCTCAGTCATTACTGACTCTGCAGTGACTGCTTGGATGAGTCCTTGCAGTTTTCAAGGCAAGTGTTTCGGAAGTGGTTTGCCAGAGCCTCCTTCCTAGAGCAGAGCCCAGCTGGCGTGCACAGGAGGCGGGGTTTCTGTTGCTTCTTCTGGTTCTAAGATGAGGAAGGTTATTGAAACATATGCCAGAAATCTATTGGGTTAGGGTAAGGTAACCCAACGGGAGCCAAAAAGAAGTGCTCCCAAAATTTGGCTTGAAGATTGCAATGTATAGGAATCAGGTATTAGTCAGGACTAGTTAGCTGAAAAAGTGAGCTGAGGAAAATCTCACATCTTCTCTGAGATAAGAAAAAAGTTGTAGGTAAGGATTTGTAATCAGATTCTTTGTTTTAAAATATGCTTGTCTATTGCATGGTCTCTGATATTCTGAATATGTTTGCTAATTCTTTTAAAAAGTTTGCCACTGTTTCTTGTACCACATTTTACTGTCTTTTTTACTAATTCAAGTCTTGTAAATTTTGTATCATCTTAAGTTTTTTGAACCTCAGATCCTACCCATCTGGATTTGTGTCCAATCTCCCCATAATATTTTATGGGAGGGAGGTGTCTGTGATGCTGGTTGCATTTTTATCAGTGCTAAATGACTTATTCTATCTAATTCAAATTGTTTGGGCATTTGGCTATGCAAGCTAAAAGAAAGCTTTCCTTTTTGTTATAATTAATAAAAATGATATTTAAATCATAAGATAGTTGCTGTTGTTTCCATCTCCTCAAAAGATAGTGCTGCTGGCCACATAGCTCAAAGAAATGAGGGCTGGAGGTGACCCTACAGAGTTTAATTTTCCATCATTATTATTACTACTATTATCATTGTCATTAATGGGAAGAAGCCTATTTAAAGTATGTCCTTCCTCCAGAAAGATGGGAAATGGAAGTGGGAAACTTCATAACTACATAACCCATAAATAGAAACAGGATCATGTACCTTGGCAGTGGACACAGATAAGCTACAGTGTACACCCTACTGGTAATTTTTTACAGGCATATTATGCAGGGTATTATGTATGAAATGCATTCCCTTTGGGTAGAAAAATAGTACTGATAAGTAAGAGTAATTCTCATTGGTTAAGTGAAAAAACAAATTAAAGCAATTACCTTTACCACTTATGCAGGCAGAAATAGATACACAACCAATAAATACACTTTTAGCTTAGCAAAGCTTTAAGTTCTCATAGTTTTTAAATATCTCATCTTTCAAATAATAAGTCTTCTGTTGAACTTGTGCACTACTTGCAATATGATCTTGGAATCAATTATATTTTAGGAGTTCTTTAATTATATACTCTACTGAGATTGAAAAATAGGGATCTGAATTAAATGGATAAAATCAGAGAAAACTCAACACTTACCTGTATGTATTTGTGCATGAACCAGGAAGCTTGTTTTCCATCATTCACTGATTCTACTGTAGTGTTGGCCAGGCCACTGATGTCACCACCTGCAAAAATCCCTGGTTCACTTGTCTGCATAGTCTCCAGATCAACTTCGGGGAGACCCCAACTGTTAAACTTGAGAGGATACAGAGCTTCTTTTACTGTAATGAAAGGAAAGAGGATAAGAGAGATCAAAGAAACTTTGTAAACAAAACAATCCTTGAGTGATGCATTTATCAGGGACTGCCAGGCTTGCAGCATAATATCCAGGGCTTAAATCTGGGACCAAGTCTAGAGGATTACTGTAGATGGTGTGACCACATGTCACAGCTTTCACATAAGGGAACAAAGGTATGTAATAACATTCATTCCCATTGTTTTCCTATAGCATGAAATATATGGACTAACCTATTCTTTTATCATTCCTATGAAGTTGGTCTCCTATCTATTCTAATCAGAGACACGGGTGTTCCTTTAGAGATACCGCTTAAGCTCAGAATTGGCTTCATAAGATACCCATAACTATTGCCATCTTCTTCTCTTCCATCAAAGTCTACCTTTCAACAGTTGTGGCAATAAGAAGAGGTTTCTTGCAAATGTCTCTAATGTTGTGATTGTGAATCGCAGCATCCATATATGATAGAATTTAGGAAACTAAATTCTCTAGGGTATCTGAACCCTCAATATGGACATTACATGGCCTCAGAAAGCTTTATTTCCTGGGTGCCAATACCCATTGTGGTGCCGTTTCAATATTTAAGAATCTAGACAAGACCTCAGAAAGGCTTCCAATGAAGTTTTCTCAGTGTTACCACTCTTAGGTCAATGTTGAAGTAAGATAAAAGAAATATGGCGAGACTCAAGTCTCCTGAAGTTTGAGGGAAGCTGTTTGTACCTGGTTATGCATCTGATGATTTCAGGGAAAAGAAAATGAGTTACTTTGACTTATTGCACTTCACATTCAAATCCTTTGAATTCAAAAACCCTCCATCTGGTTTGGATTAGGTGGTCTCATATACATATGGATGAAAGTGTAGATACAATATGTGATGTGTTTGCTTTCAAAACATTAGCTATGCAAAAATAGTAATTGGATGCTAGCTCTCCTTCCTCTCACCCCCACTCCCAATTTCAGATAGTTCACTAGAAAATGTGGGCAATACATGAGCATGAGGGGAATGCTAATGTTTTTATTTTCCTCGCCCAGTACTTGTGTGTTCCTGGTAAAAGTTGTAGGAAACAGAAAGTTGCCATAGCAATCAATCAAGCATTATGTAGGCTATAGCTTAGTTTTCATAAACAACAGATGAGGTGCTAAAAACTGTCTCTGGACTATACTGTGTCAAGCTGTAAGTAAAGGAATCACATGATAAAATGCTATTCTGTGCATTTTTTAGTACATGTATTAACTAGCAGCTCAGCAAAAAAAAAAGATAGGAAAAAAAAGTAGGCCAAAGAATCCTGCTTCCTGAGGTGCTAGCTTTCTAAAAGATTTATGCATGCATGCATGCCTTCGAGTCAGTCTTTATTCCTGGTGACTGCCTGGGCTAGCCCCTGCAATTTCTTGGCAAGATTTCAGGAGTGGTTTGCCACTGCTTGCTTCTTCCTAGGGCTGGGAGAGAGTGACTTATGCCTAAGTCAGGACTACAACTCACAGTCTCCTGGTTCCCAACCTACAGCCTTAACCACTACACCAAACTGGCTCTCATTTATTTATTCATTTACTAACTTACTTACTTACTTATTTATCACGTTTATATAGCTACTTATCTCATTAGTGACTCTGGGCGGTATACATAATAAAACTATCCAATTATATAAAAACCAATTAAAAATACAATCAAAATAAATTAGAAAGATAAAAAAAAAATGGCAAAAAAAAAAAAACATACAGAGAGTGCATTCCAGTTAACCATCATGTAACTGTCTAGCAGGCTCCACTCTGTCAAGGGATCCCCAAGCCAGGTGACAAAACTATGTTTTAAGGGCCTTCCGGAAGGCCAACAAAAGATGCTTGTTTTTCCTTCACAGGAACTGCTGAGATTGAAAATATGAAACCCTGGATCAGATTTCTCTCTCTGTTTCGTTTTTTGAAAATTAGGACAATTTGAACAGTTCACAGGGCAAGTTGACCCCATCTCGTTCTTACTATAGCATGGTGATAATATATTGAATCAGACTTACTTTTAAGTAATCTAATCAGATATCAGTTTCAAACCTCCTTTGGCCATATTTCCTCAGTAGCTTGGATCAGCCATTCCCTCACCCTAATTACCTCACAGGAAACCTCTGGGGATGGAAGGTGTGTGGGCGCCCTTGTATTTTGCCTTTCAAAACTAGCAAAAGAGTACACACACATAATAAATAATACATGGTTATAGTAAAAGAAATAAAGAAATGAGATATAAAGGGGTAGTAGACTGAATATTTTTCTCTTGCCTTTTTATGATAAAAATCATCTTAATTTGCCATAAAAGGCTATACAGTCACCTTTGCCATAAAAGGTCACCTTAAAGTCACCTTTGCCATAAAAGGCTATACATTAATAATCTGGGATTGATATAATTGGGTTTTAAGATAGCTCCTTTGTGCAATTCCCTAATATGGTACATTTTTATGACAGGATTGTGTTACCCTGTCTTGAAGAAATTTTACAATTTATTATCATTTCGTGATGTCCAGTTTTGTTTTGTTTTGTTTGTTTGTTTTACTTCCAAAAGATCTTTCTCTCTCTCGGTCTTTCTCTCTGTAATATTCCTTGGGGACATACCACACACAGATGTAGATTGCTAAGGTCAATTAAACTGATGTAGCTGTGCTGTCATATATGTAAAAGAGAAACCTGCTAGCATTTTTCTCAGTTGTCACAGAACAGTGTCAAATATGTGTTGTTTTTGCACAAAAGGAGCCCACACAGCTGGATTTTGTCTTGGGAAACCTTCCTTAAACTCAAAGCTCTAATTATTGAAAGGAACTAGATTTTTCTTACAAGATTAGCCATTCCCAATGGGCTAAACATTAGATTGATGAAAAGAAATGGAAGAGAGAGTAACAATAGGGGAAGCCCTTCTCCCCACAGTGATACTACTACAGATAGCTATTTCTCTCTTGCAGTTGATCTAGTGATCTGTCCCTTACTACTTGGTTTCAGTGGTAAAGAAATAGGCAGGACTCCAGAGTGGAGATAAAAGCCATATATGACCACAGTTACCTATACTGTATGTGTATTAGGGATTTGTTAGTGGCACCAGATGAGAGAGTTTGGATAATTTTAAGTAATGCTAATCTGCTAGCATATTGCTGATCCAGAAGTATGTTTTTTTCCTACAATAATTCTGAAGTAGAAAAGACAAGTCTTCTGTGAATTTTAAGCAGCTAGACCAAAGATGGTCAATCTTGTGACAGAGGAAGCAAAACAATTTAATTTGGATGAGAATAACAATGAAACAAAAATAGAAAATCTCAAAGAAAAAAAACATTGGGTCATAGGCCAATGAAATAAAAAGGATTCTAGAAAGATGAAGTTGACAGCTAATTTGATAGAAAACAACCCACATTGTTTGCCCTAATTCTGACCCTGGTATCTAGTTACATCATATCAGAAGAACTGGTAAGAACTGGTATCTAGTTACATCATATCAGAAGAACTCAGAGCCAAGAAAGACCATAAAATGAGGGTCATTAGAATCACAAATTCCTTGTTTGATTCTTAGATAGGCAGATCTGAAAAAAGAGACAGTAACGTTTTCACAGACATTGCACAGTTATTCCAGATACTGGAAGTTTATTTTCCCAATGTAAATCTAATGTGAGAAAATACAGATTCATTCAAATGCATGACACAAGAATATTTCATGATTTGTGGCAGAAGATTGTGCTATCTGAGGTCATCTACTAATAAATACCTGACAAACATGAGATACAAACAATGAAGTAAATATTAGATTAGGAAAAGCTTATAAGAACAACTTCTGCCAAAGCCAGTGGAACTATCCGAAATAGAGAGCTTAGTTAATTCTTTCTTGTGTGAGGTTCAGACAGACCTGTTAAGTAAATACTTTACCAATCTTGCTATGGAAATCAGTTAGCTATTCAGACAAGGGAAGGCTGTGCCATGTAAAATAAATTTGCACACTTGAGATAGAATTTTTACCTATTTTAATCTGTAATATAACTTTTTTAGCAAAAAGAGAAATACACTTTTGCCTCAGAGAATGACTGAAGGATAAATACTTTGTGTTTAACACCTCAAGAGACTGGTCTCAATTTGATTGCATACTTTAAAAAAAAACCCCTCTCTTAAGCATGTATGTGTGGTTAACAGTTATGCTAATGGGATAACTAAAACAGAAACAAACAGAAGGGTTTTTATTATAAAGCAATTGCCAAGAGCCATACTTAAGATTTGGGTGGGATTTCATCCTATATGTGGGCAGTGCTCAGTTTGAGGTGGGAAGTTGGGAAGTATTCTCTTTTTCTTTTAACTAAAATGTACTGGTTTTTAGGTGTTAACAATGCAGTTTTGATGTGTTTCACTTATCACATTGGTGGAAACAAATTATTGGCAATTTTCAGCAAACATAGAAGGACCTCCCAGGGGAACAGACAGACAACCTGGGGGCTTCATGTAGCTCTAGAACTGCTGGCTGTCTTCCTCAAGCTAAACAGTTCATCTTTCTTATACCAAAGTGAAAATGCAAAAGAAAGTATTAGATAAGATAGAGCTCTGTTCAATGGTATGACTAAATGCATTGAAAAAAGCTGGTTGGGAACAACGAAAAAGAGAAAGAACACATTGGATATTAGATGTTCACATAGGCACTATCTCAAAATGCATTAGTAGGAAGTAATAATTAGGTTCTGCATCTCATTTTTGATATAGTAAAAAAAAACTATTATGACAAATTAATATGAATACCATATAGGCTGCTAATACTGATAATGTCAAGCCAAATCTCTCTCTCTCTCTCTCTCTCTCTCTCTCCCCCCCTCTCCCCCCTGAATGCCAAGATAAGATACTGATGAGTTAGACAAAATACCAAGAAAAGAAACTGTTCCACACTTAATTTTAAAACTGGAAATATTTTCATGATCATAAGTGATTAGTCTGCTTTAAAGTCCCAGGGCTTGCAAAAAAAGTAGACTAAAATAAAATAAAAGC